ACTCATTAGGTCTCAGAAGGTATAGAGCGAACCCCTTGCCTAGTATTCTGGCCAATGCTGTATCTCTTCTAAAGAGGAGTGGATATGTCCTGTAGCAAATCGTTGGGGACGGTATGGTACCAGAATACCAGACAGCAGCCAGGACAACATGCAATCAACACAACTATCTGTTCTCCACCCGGTTTCAGCAGTTAAGCAGGGATGCCTGAAATGCCTACTGTATAGCCATCCTTCAACTTGGCGGTTCCTCACTGATGGGAGAAACGGACACCAAGAGAGCTCTAACATTCACGTTTATAATCAATGTTTATTAATTAATGGATCAGCAGGAAATATCTGCACAAAACACTCGGTGATACGGCTCTTTCACACCCTGAGCTGAGTTTTTAGTTCCTGGGCAGTCACCAAAGGGCACATATGCACATGTACTTACACACAAACACACAAACACACACACACACACACACACACACACACACACACACACACACACACACACACACACACACACACACACATATATATATATATGTGTGTGTGTGTGTGTGTGTGTGTGTGTGTGTGTGTGTGTGTGTGTGTGTGTATACGTATACATGTATATGTGTGTGGGCCAGCTACCTTATTATCAGGTGAAATTTGTTTCGAATCTTGCTTTGGCTTCTTGTCAAGAATCGTCGCGTTTCCAAGATTCGCCTTTATGCTCAGGGGCTCGTAGGACTTCCATTCGCCTGTATTAAGATGACAATAATGATAATGCTGGTAATGATAGGAAAAACACCGTACTGTTACCACTCCTACTATTACTACTACTATTCTACTATTACTATTGTTACTACTACTACTACTTCTATTACTACTATTACTAGTGGTACTGCTACTACTACTATACTACTATTACTACTACTGCTATAACAACTTTTACTACTACTACTACTATTGCTAGTGGTACTACTACTACTACTATACTACTGTTACTACTACCACTGCTACTACTACTACTACTATGAAGGCTAATGATAAGGAAAATAATAATATCAATAATGATAATAATAATGATGGAAATAATGTAAATAACAATGAAAATAAACAGTGACAATAAAACTGATAATGATACTGATACTGGTGATAAGGATAATAATGACAATAATTGTAATAAAACTATAATAAATAACAATACTCATGATAAAATTTTCTTTCGTGTTCAGTAAATGTAACAATCACAAATATATTTCCTGATATTGTTATAATTGTTGTTATCCTTGTCTGTTATCATTATTACTATTATCATTATTTTCATTATCATTATTATTTTCATTACTATCAGTAACATTATTATTATTGTTGTTATTGTTATCTTTGCCATTGATATGGTCATTATCAATATCACTGTTATCCTAATTATCATAACTTTCATCACCACCATCACCGCTCACCACCTATGGCATTTTTTTCCTCACCTTTGCTAATCCTGAAAACAGCAGCCTGGGTCAAGGGTGAATCCAGGTTAACGATGAAAAAAGCCAAGATATGAGCGCATCGGAGAGACATGCTGAAAGGTAAAAGTAAATTCAATGAAATGATGATGGTGATGATGATGATCACACACACACACACACACACACATATACACGCACGCACGCACACGCACACACACATTTACACACACTTACACACACACACACACACACACACACACACGCGCGCATACACACACGCATGCACGCATACACACACACGCACACACACATACACACACACACGGCACACACTTACACATACACACACACACACACACACACACACACACACACACACACACACACACACACACACACACACACACACACATATATATATATTATATATATATATATATATATATATACAACATATACATTATATATATATATATATATATATATATATATAATATATATATATATATATATACATACATATACATATACATTTATATATATATATATACATATATATATTATATATATATATATATATATATATATATATATATATATAATATATACATGTATATAAATATATATACACACAAACATGTTTGAAGTAGTTGGGGGCAAAATGAGACACTTCAGAGAAATAGTCAAAATTTTCGATTATTGATTTTTCTTTTTTGCACAAGACAAATGAAAATCACCATATACAAAATACTAGTAACCTAACTGAAGCAATTTGATGTAAAAAATCTTCATTAGTCAAATATAATGAAAACCTGTCTATATGACCATGAGACATTATATAAACACAGACTTTGCCCGTGGAACTTACCCACGAACAGTTCTCATGAACCCAAGTTTTGCACTTTGCACAAATTTTCTTCTTCGCGAGGGTTTACTCCTTACGCTTCTGTCAAGAGCATCTTAGGCACACCGAGTGATTCTGTAGCCTTTCGGAGACATTTTTCTTAACGGCAATAAGGACATGTTCATTTCTTCCTTATCACAGCTTCCCCTGTCAGTCTTCCTTTCGTAATTTCGCACCGTCTAAAAACATCTAAGTTAGGCATCATTAGCAAGTGCAAGAAGATCTGTGAAGATTAAATTACTCATAGGTGCTTCTTTTCTTTTATTCTGCCTTATGTTGAGTATTGTTCTCCTGTGTGGTTATCTGCTGCACTGCCACACTTGAGACTGCTTGATCGTTCTTTTAATTCCATTAAATGTCTCCTGCCTGACTTAAATTTGGACATTGGACATCGTAGGGTTATTGGGACTCTATCACTCTAATAAGAAACTGTAACTGATAATTCACATTCCCTCTATAAGTTTTTACCTGATTTTTATCAACCTGCAAGTTACTAGAAGTTCCATGACCCCTCAGTTCAAAGACATTTGCTGTAGGTCGATCGTATAAAAGTCACATTGCCTTCACAGATTGTAACTTCTCCGTCTCTTGAAAAGTTAAAAAGATCAGCAAACATGTTTTTCTTACGGAAATAGCTGACTTCCTATCTTCCCATTCTTTCTTAGCTGTATCTTTTGACCTGCACTGATACCTTTGGTGGTATAAAAAAAAAGTTCATGCTGTATCAGTTTCATTCAATATATTGTCAACCTCCTTGTTCACGGGACTAGTTTAAGAGATTTTTTTTTTACGATCCGTGCCATCTTGAACTACAGAGCACTTAAGAGACAGCCAAGTCCCTTTTTAAAAAATACAGGCTAGGCCAAAATAGCTGCGTGCTGTCTCATTTTGCCCCAGTGGCAGGAGAATGATTCGAATCGGCAACAACCAAAATATATTGAAAATTAGCCTATTCACACTTGCAAGATGGAAGAAAAGGCATCGAAAAATCTAAAAACAGTAAGCACTTGGTTATTCAATAAAACTGAAATGAGCCCATCTTAAAGCAGTGAGTGTCGGCGCAAGGATTTAAAAATGGAGGAAAAAAATCACACCTTACATTTTGCTTGTCATTCCAAACGAAACGACGGTTGATGAACATAAAAGAGCCTTCAATGATAATTTTCACAATTTATGTAAGCATCATTGTGCATTACGAAGCGAGGAACTTGCAATTGGGGCTGCCAATGTCTCATTTTGCCCCGAACTATGCTATGTTATGTTCACTTCCTAATTGTACAGTTTCCTTTTTCATTATCTCATCCTAAACTGTTTTAATGATTTACCAATCTTCCACGTCAGATCTTAGAGACTACCACTAGTACCTTTACTTCCAGAGGTTTTGGTTAGTTTCGAATGTTTGCAGACACTGACAGTGGAAATCAACACACAAATACCTTACAGATATGCTCTTCATTTCCCGATCCTTATCACTCTTACCAGATGCTCTTCTGTTCCTCTCCGCATCTTCATCTCTTACCAGCTCTATTCTACTACTCGTGAACAACAAAATGAACAATATCTGCAAACCAAGCCAAGCCAAGACATACCTGACGAGCGGGCGGTGTGTGCAGTAGACGCCAACAAAAAGAGGGCGGTTTAGAGAACGCTATCAGATCAGCAATACGATTGTGTCCGGCTATGTCGACGATAACAAGCACTTCTGAGGGCAGTTATCAGAGATAGGCATGGGGCTCTCTCCAGGTCCTTGCATTTTCATTTTCGTCGTTATCTGTCCATCCGATTATCTGCTGTGTCTCCTTTCTCCCTCCGATTGACTTCATCGACTGAGAAACCACTGATGACTGATGACATCGACTAATGAAATGCCTGAGAGCTGAAAGAACATTCGTTTCTGCAGATAAGACTAACATCTGTAAGATAATGAATCTAACCGATACAGAAGGGAGTGGGTGTTTGACTCAGTTCTGTATCTCACGTATTAGGAAGACAAGGTTACTGATTTTTGTCGATGATATTCACACGAGAAGGGTAAAGGTGAATAGACACCACTTTGTATTGCAACAGCTCTCATCCCTTTTTCTGCAATCTACGACCTGTTTCTTGCAATATCTTCAGTTACGACACGACTTCCTTGTTCAAAGGACCAGTTTAAAAAGCATTTATTTCTACGTGCCTTGCCATCATGAACCATGGAGCCCCTGAGAAGGCCAGTTGATGATTTTAGGTTTAAGTACAAGTTATACATATAATCGTTCATAATTATATATTAAGATTTTTTTTTTTCATCTATAATTCATAGTTTCTCTTTTTTTCTAGGTTGAATATAAACAACCGCTGCGGTATAGCCTTTATGAATAACACTCATGGAACAGCTACAAGATGGAGCACGGTATGCCACAGTATTTGCAACACACGCACATACTCGAATCGCTATCTTTATTAATAACTATTGACCCATGTACCTTTATATGCGCGCGTACACACACACACACACACACACACACATGCATGCACAAGTTTTGTTTTCTTTACTATATTTATACACCATCATTTTCTGATACACTCTTATCTATCTCTTTGATATCTCAGTGCCAAGATAACAGATCATATGCTCCAGTTCCCGGAATAGTTTTGTCAGGCTTGTAATTCCGATAATA